ATAGTCTATCCATGGCTAGCTCTGTCACAGGCATGTCAACAAACACAAACAACACACGAACTTTCTCCACCATCCACAAAATCAATCTATCCCTAACGAATAAAACGATATTGTAGACGTGCCCGGGTGGCGGTCACGTGATCAAAATGGCGGTGCGGCAAAGTCTAGCGAAGTCGCGGAAATCTGGTTAACGGACGAGGATGGGAACGAAGAGCTGTTGGAGGAGTGTAGGTCTTTCTGTCGCAGTCGTGAAGGCGTGCTTGAGGAACCACTATGTTCTATTGGCTTCTTGGAATCTTTGAAAATTCATTTGTTATTACGTTTTTTTTTTTTTTTCGTTTTTTTTATGTGGAGTTTCTGGATTTTTTTTTCTTTTCTTATCTTCTCTCTCTGTTCTTTACTTTCACTCTTCTTTCCTCTTCTACATTTTTCTTCTTCCATATGCTGTATTTTTTTTCTTTTTTTTTCTTTTCACCTTCCTTCTAAGTCTCTCCTCCTCCTTTTCTATCTCTTTCTTTTCCTACTTCCCATTTTCTAAACTCCAAGAAGACCCATTTCAAAACACCAATTTGACATTTAAAAAAATGAATACGAAATAAAAATATGAACAACTAATCATTAAATAACATATATTTCCAATCCCCCCCACTCAGAAAATGGATAAATAAATAAATAAAAAAATCTCAACCCCCCTCCACCACCCCCTCTAATAAATCAATAGATAAATGAATAAATAAATAAATAAATAAATAAAAAAGAATAAAAAAAGGCTAAGTGGTATCCCTCGACGTACCCAGTGACCTCAAGCACGTGGCGACAATTCAACCGTTATTTTGAAAGCACGGCACGTATAAAGCACATGTTTCGTAGTCCACTTGCACAGTAAAAAAAAAAATATGATACGTTTTTTGTTTTTTTAAGGTTCTATATTTCATTGTTGTGGTGGTTATTATTTTTATTATTATTATTATTATCATTCGTATCATTGTTATCATTCTCATTGTCGTTATCATTATCATCATTATTGTTATCATTATTATTATCATTATCGTTGTCATTGTTATTATTTTCATTATCGTTATCGTTGTTATTATTTCCATGATCATTTTCTTTTATTTGTTTCTATTCATTCGTCTATATTTTCATGTAGTTTGTGATAGATTTATGTCGGACACTTTTGCAATTAATCTTATTCTGTGGAGTCTTTGAAGGTGATATGTTGGGACGCGGAAAGTGTGATTTCATTATCCTTTTATATGAATCTTTATGTATGATTATCAATTAGTTGTTTTCTATTTTTTCTCTCCCTCTCCTTTTTTTTATTTTCTACTTTTTTCACGCATTTTTCTCTCTCTTTCTCTGTCTGTCTGTCTCTCTCTCTCTCTCTCTCTCTCTCTCTCTTCTCTCTCTTCTCTCTCTCTCTCTCTCTTCTCTCTTCTCTCTCTCTCCTCTCTCTCTCTCTCTCTCTCTCTCTCCTCCCTCTCCTCCTCCTCTCCTCCTCCTCTCTTCCTCTTTTCTCCTCCACCCTTCCCTCCCTTCCTCTCTTCCTCTTCTCCTTCCTCCTCCCCTTTTCTTCCTCCTTCCCCTTTCTTTTCCTATCCTTCCTCCCTTCCTCCCTTTCTCCCATCTTCCATGCGGCGGTTGCAACAGCACGTCTCGTTAACACAATCAATGTAATAATGATTTATATCCCAAGAAGGCGATGATATCATAGAAAATGGAGATGGGTTTATAATCTCATTTTAAGGGGTAACGCAAGAATTTGTTAGTCTCCGAACCTCCCGGCTAACGAGCAAAATTATGTTTGGCGATAACGCTTATTAAGTTAATTTTTTTGCCTGGTGGTAATCATTCTCAATTTTTCGAATTTATATATTTATTCTATGGGTTTTTCTTCGTTTTTTGTAATTCCTGTGTATATATAAAAGTTAAAAAAAAAATTGTCGAATCTGCAAACTTTTCGTAATAGAATGAACGTGGAAATTAAAAAACAAAAAAAAAGTTTCATTGATAATTCACCTCCATAACTTTTCCGAAATTTCATTTGCTTCGAAACAGCTGCGTTTAATCAGGATTTATGTGATGGAATTAAATCGGCGGTGTCTGTTCCTCCTTTTATTGTCATTTGCCATGCACCATTTTCGCACCGTATGTGTTTCGGTATGATGCACTCGCGCACTTTAATTGGAGGTAGAAAATGCTTTTGTAATTATGTTTTGCGTAGATGTGTGTGTCTGTATGGTGATGTTTGTTTGTTTGTGTGCGTGTGTGTGTGTAAGAGAGAGAGAAAGATGTGTGAGAATGAGAATGAGAACGAGAATGAGAATGAGAGAGAGAGAGAGAGAGAGAGAGAGAGTGAAGAAGTGTGTGTGAGTGCGTGTGCGCGTGTGTGTGTGTGCGTGTTACGTGTGTGTGTGCTCGTGATTGTTCGAGTATACATATACCATATACATATATATATACGTATGCATACTGCACGCTTCCTAAAATAATACTATAAATAAAATTACCCACTCTAACCTCCCGCGCCCTCCGCCCAGGCCCGAATCTGAACGAGAACGAGCCCTCGGCGGCCGGCGCGTCGTCCCGCAGCAGCCGAAGGGGCAGACGCCCTACACCATCACCGTCAACGTCGTGCGCGGGGAAACCAAGGTAGGGAGGGTTTTTTGTTGTTTTTTTTGTTTACTTTGTTGAGTTGTTTTTTTTTGTTGTTGTTGTTTTAGGGTTTTGTTTTTTTTTTTTGTTTTTGTATTTTGTTGTGTTTTGTTGTTTGTTTTAAATGATTATTTGTAATGATTATTTCTAATTGAAGTCTGTTGTACACCAAGAAAGGATAACGATAATGAAAGGGATAATGATAAAAAAAGAAAAAATCAACTATTTCAATCACATTCACCCCTCCCATACCCCCCCAAAAAAAAAAGAAAAAAAATAAAAAATAAAAATTATCCACAATCATATCTCCCCCCCCCCTTCAAAAAAAAAAATCACCCCCCCCAAAATCCACAACCCCCCCACCCATACACCCCCAACTAACCACTCCCCCCTCTCTCTCCCTCCACCCCCCCACCCCAGGCTTCGGCTTCAGGCGTGGCGTGGACGAAGCCGCCCCGAGTGGAGCGAGTCGAGCCGGGTCTGCCAGCCGAGCAAGCCGGACTCAAGCCGGGGGACTACATCATCTTCGTCGGGCAGTTCAACGTCGTCAAGTATGAGGAGGAACAGGTGCTCGACATCATCAGGTGAGCGGCTTGGGGGTTTGACTGTGTTTGTTTTTTGGGTTGTTGTTATTTTTTTTTTGTTATTTGTGTGTGTGTGTTTTTTTGTATTTGTGTGTGTGTTTTTTTTTTTTGTGTGTTTTTTTGTTATTTGTGTTTTTTTTGTTTTTGTTTTTTTTTTGTGTTTTTTTTTTTGTGTATTTGTTTTTGTGTGTGTGTTTCGATATCTTAAGGTGAGTGGCTTAAGGCTGGGTGTTGTGTTGTGTTTGTTTTTTGTTAGTTGTTATTAGTGTTTTTTTTTTTTTTGTTATTTGTTATTGTGTTTTTTGTGTGTGTGTGTGTGTGTTTTTTTTCGACATCATAAGGTGAGCGGCTGGGGTTGACTACGTTTGTTTGTTTATTTATTATTATTGATTATTATTATTATTATTATTATTGATTATTATCATATATTGATATTATCATTATTCATTATTTTTATATAGTATTATTATAATTACCAGCATTATCATCATTATTATTATTTATCACCACCATTACTAGAATTTGCTCTATGCCTTCGTGTACGCAAAATAACAATGAATACGAACACAAAAGACCCTTTCCATTCACCCGCCCCCACCCCCACCCCACCCCCTCCCACCCACCCCACCCCCCCACCCCCCGCCTCGGCCCTACCCCAAAGATTACTCCCGGAGCATTTTCTCAAGGAGGGTCCAGCCTCTTAAAAGGCGGCTAAATGCCCGTCTTGGAAGAGGAAAGTCAAGAAACATTAGAGCTGCGGTTGGCTACATTTAAGGCCATTGAGAAGCCTCCTTCTGGGTGTTTTTCAAAGCGACCTTCTTGCACTTTGGGTTAATGAGTCTGGTGTGGTGGCTTTGGTGGTGAATGTGGTGGTGATGATGAGGTTTGGGTGTTCACTGACATGCTATTAGGAGAGAGAGAGAGAGAGAGAGAGAGAGAGAGAGAGAGAGAGAGAGAGAGAGAGAGAGAGAGAGTTTTAAAATTCGGGTGATATAGAGTTGGAAAATACAATAAGACCATCCAAATTCCGTGTAAAAATAATGATAATGATGATAATAGTAATAATAGTGATAATAATATAATAGATAAATAGATGAATTAATAAATATATACGATAAGAAATATATGAAAGGAAGATGAAGATAAATATAAAAAAGAAAAAATAAAAAATACAAATAAACAATAGATACATACAGAAATAAAAAAAAGTCTAAAAAACAATAAAACAATAAAACGAGAGAAAAATAATAACTAACCCCCTTTCTCCCCCCTAGGGACTGCGGCGACGTGCTGTCCATGGAGGTGTACCGCCGCGGAGTCTCGAAGCACCCGCGCGGCTTCGTGAACGGCTTCGTCCCTTCCCGAACCGGCCCGGAGCAGGGACTCGCCAACGGCAACGATTTCCACCGCGCAAGAAGCCAGCCACATTACCTTCAACACGGAGGTAGGCTGGGGGCTGAATGTGTGACGTGGTGGGGGGCCTGGCGCCGGAGAGGATCGCGGAGGGCTGTAGGAGGGCCTGAAGAGATGGCGGGAGGAGGGTGGGTTGCCGGAGGGACAGGGCGGAGAGTGGCGAAGAAAAAAAGGATTTTTGGTTTTGGAGAGTGGCTAAGAAAAAGGTTTTGGTTTTGGAGAGTGGCTAGAAGAAAGGATTTTTGGTTTGAGAGTGGCTAAGAAAAAGGATTTTTGGTTTTGGAGAGTGGCTAAGAAA